CAGGATGCCCAGTGTGGCTGGGGGCCCTCAGGATGCCCAGTGTGGCTGGGGGCCCTCAGGATGCCCAGTGTGGCTGGGGGCCCTCAGGATGCCCAGTGTCTCAAGGCGACGTTCAGTGACCCAGACCCGCCTCCCGAGGGCCCCATACCTCCCTGGGCCGGGGCTGGCACCCAGAGTCAACACTAGACCTCTGGGGACATTTAACACCCACACAGCAAACAGCACTTTTGGTTCATACACATCCACAAATGGTGACCAGACCCATCTCCCACAGAAACCCAAAGGCGTTAGGCAGAAGAGCCCAGGGAACCCGGGTCCCAGTACTCAACACTGAACAGAATCGAGGCCAACAATCGTCTTCCAGCTGAATTTTACAAACTACCTTCATTAAATTCAACTTTATTAAAAATTAAAACCACAGAAAAAGGTTTAAAAAGCGAAGCAGGAAATGGAGTGAGAAGCCAGACTAATATAGCAATAGCTGACGTGGTGGCTGTGGGACCGTCCTTCGTGGCTCACACCCACCCCTGACTCGGCACGACCAGAAACAGGAGCACCCTCTTCTACCTCAGGGGTTGGAGACACCCACAGGACAGCCCCCAGGCCTGCAGACACTTCCACGCTGCTGTCTGGCAGAGGTGGTACGCAGCCGAGTCAGGAAGCGCACATCATAACCAGAGCTCTGGCAGTGACGCTCTACCCAGACACCCCGGCTCGTGAGCACGCAGATGCAGGGCACCAAGTGGAGACGAGCCACTTTCTGGGCTGCTGCAAGTTCCCACCCAGAGGCAAGAAGCGGAGTGGGAGCCGAAGAGACAGCCTGACCCTCAGCCCAGCAGCCCCAGCCCACTCTGTGCCCTGGGCTGGCCTGTGTCTGGAGAACCAGTGCCAGCACGCCCCATGACCGCCCCCGGGAGGGTCCCAGGGCCTAGAACTGCTGAAGGATCATCTTCCGTTTCAGGTCACGGCTGAACTTGTTCATCCTGAAGAGCTCGCTGTCATAAAAGGCGGAGAGGTTGTGGATGTGGATCTGCCGAGCCTGAAGACAGGAAGCACAGGAGGCGTCAGGGCCAGAGACCCGTGTTCCACCCACACCCCGTGCCCCACGCTTTCAGGAGCGAAGCGCCTGGGGTGGAGGCCGAGCCAGAGGACCGGCTCCAAGCCCAGTTCCCAGGGCGCCCTGTTCCCTGCTCCTCCACCTGCCGCCCACCCCGCCCACTGCCGCACACAGCGTGCCTGCCGCCGCCGCCTCCACCCCAGCACACTGCACCTTGTCCACCAAGTCCTTCTCGGGCACCTCGATGGTGTCCTGCTGGGCCCCAAAGCGGTTGCGCTGGTAGGTGACTTGCTCGGCCACCAACTGCTTCAATATGAAGAGCAACAGCTCATTGTTGTCGCGCCGGAAGGAGAGGTAGCGGGCGAAGGTCTGTGGGAGGAGAGTGGGGGTCAGAGGCCGCCGTGGGGGTCAGAGGCCGCCCACACCTTTGCCTGGCCGCACACACGGGTGTACCCCAGCACATGACACGGGCCCTTCAGCGAGCCGGCCACACCCACCTTGCGCATGCTGCGCATGACGCTGAACTTCTGCGTGTCGATGAAGCTCTCCAGCATCACGCGGATGGCCATGTTGACGTCATCCTCTATCACATAGTCCCGCAGATGCATCCGCGCGTGGGCCTCGGCCATGCGGATCATGGACTCGATGTGCCGCACGGTGATGGGAATGCTGCCCGTTGCCTGGAGGGGAGGGGAGGGCAGGGCCTGGCCTGAGGCACAGGGAGGGGCTGGGCAGGGTAGGGGCCGGCTGGAGGCCAAGTTCAACTGTGCCAACCAACACATCCCACTCCTTCCCCAAACAGGGCTGCTCCAGTGCCCGCCGCCCGCCCAGGGCCTGCAAGCGCCCAGTGTGTGCCCGCTGCCCGCCCAGGGCCTGCAAGCGCCCAGTGTGTGCCCGCTGCCCGCCCAGGGCCTGCAAGCGCCCAGAGTGTGCCCGCTGCTCGCCCAGGGCCTGCGAGCGCCCAGTGTGCCCGCTGCTCGCCCAGGGCCTGCGAGCGCCCAGTGTGCCCACTGCTCGCCCAGGGCCTGTGAGCGCCCAGTGTGCCCGCTGCCCGCCCAGGGCCTGCGAGTGCCCAGTGTGTGGTGTCACGGTGGGCGGCACACACGCGCACACTGACACTGCACAGCCAGGGCTGGGATTTCACGACATCTCAGCTGAAGGCTCTGAAAAGACGTAGCAGAGTTCGCACTCAGGGCCTCACACCCGGCTGCCAGCCCAGCTTTTCTGCTGGTTACTCTGGAAAGTCTAGCAGACCTTTCTGGCCCAAATGGTCTCAAATTGACATCTTCCAGATCTCTGCCTCCCAAGTAGCTGGGATTGCCAGCGTGAGCCACCAGCTCACACCGAAGTTTTAGCCAATCCCTAAACGTGACAGTACAGAGGCGCTGGGGGAGGGGCCCCTCGGAGGGCAGGCCTGGAGGCCCCGCTGGAGGAGTGCTCACCATCGACTCCTTCCGCAGGTCGCTGTACATCCTGGCCACCTTGTCCTGGTCCATCTGGTGGAGCTTGGGGTGCACCCTTTCCTTGGCATAGATGATGTACTTCTTCAGGACCTCCTGCGGCAGGGGCTCCACGCCGTACGTGTTGGGCATGACCGGCTCTGAGGCGCTGCTATCCAGATCCTCGTCCTTCGTGTTGCTGGGGTGGTGTCTGACGTGGCTGCCCACCACGAAGCGGGCCAGCATCTCATCCTAGATGGGGTTGGGAGAGGCGTCAGGGGTGGGGGCCGCAGGCAGGGGGGAGCAACAGGCCAAGGAGACAGGCTAGAAGCTCACTTGGGTGCCGGCAGGAGACAAGCAGTTTAAAAGCTAACTAAGGCCGGTCATCCCAGCTACTCAGGAGGCTGAGACCTGAGCATCGCGGTTCAAAGCCAGCCCAGACAGGAAAGTCCTTGAGACTATCTCCAATAAACCATCAGAAAACAGAAGTGGCGCTGTGACTCAAGTGGTAGAGCGCTCACCTTGCGCTGAAGAGCTGAGGGACAGTGCCCAGGCCTCACAATTGACCAAAAAAAAAAAGAAAAGAAAAAAAAACCATCCCCAAAACAACAGAAACAGGAAAGCAGCTCAGTGGCAAAGCGCTTGCCTAACAAGTACAATGTCCCCAATACCAAAAAGAAAAGTCAAACAAAAACCACTGGGGCTGGGACTCAGTGGTGGGAGCTTGCCTAACACACATGAAGCCCTGGATTCGATTCTTCAGTACCACACACACAGAAAAAGCCAGAAGTGGTGCTGTGGCTCAAGTGGTAAAGTGTTAGCCTTGAACAAAGAAGCTCAGGGACAGCGCCCAGGCCCACGACAGACCAAAAAGTAAAGGAAGATGGGACGATGACACCAGGAGGCGCCTCCAGACACAGCTGGCAGAGAGCAGAGCACGCGAGCTAAGACAGCCGTGGGCCATCAGCAGAGGAGCGTCCGGGAGAGAGAGCATTCCGGAAGGTGGAGCAGACAGGCCTGGGGTTGGCTGGGCACAGGGCAGGATGGGGGCAGACAGCTGGGCACAAGGCGCCAGCCGCAGCCATAGGTCATCGTGGAGGATGGGTGGAAGCTGACTCGCGTCTCAGAGGTGGGAATGGCCACAGCAGGCCCTCGGGTGAGGGGTTCGGAGGTAGTAGGGGAATGGGTGTAGGAGCATTTCCAGGAGCACCCTGTGAACCAGGCTGAGCAACCAGGGAAGGAAAGAGGAGTCAGGAGGACTCTGGACATGGGGGTGGGGGGTGGGGGAGGGAGGGGGCGCAGATGCCACGTCCACCCTTCCCAGCGCCTGGTCCCAGGCTGGCCCCAGCCCGGGCTCAAGGTGCAGGGCTGTACCTGAAGTGGGTCCACGGTGTCCCTCACCACACACAGGATGTCGAAGCGGGAGATGATGGGCTCCGTGAGGTCCACGTTCTCGGAGAAGGTCAGGGAAGGGTCGTAGCGGCCCCCTGAAACACGGCAGCATGCTCAGCTGCCCTCCTCCACCTCCAAACACCCGTCCTGACCCAGCTGCTCCAGCGGCAGAGGCAGGCCGGCGCCGCGGACCTGTCATACCAGCTGCCTATGCGCTCCACAAGGGGGCAGTAGTGCCCAGAGCCGCCTAACTGGACGGTCAACCGCGTCTCAGGGAAGACACGGAAGATCATCTTGGCTCAGCCTGGCCCAGCCCTAGGCAGTCCAGACCAAGGGCTGTCTCCTGAGCGTGGTGCAGAGACGGTGGCCCCACAAGCCCCACCATCCCCAGCCCCCGGCCCGGCCGTGGAGGGGCAGGGGGCCTGCCTACCTATGGGGTTGGCAGCAGCGATGACGGTGCAGCGGGCCTGCAGGGAGGTGACGATGCCGGCCTTGGAGATGGAGATGCTCTGCTGCTCCATTGCCTCGTGAATGCTGGTCCTGTCCTGGTCATTCATCTAGACCCAGGGGCTCCCCTCAGCGTGGGCCTCGCCCCCATGGCGCAGGACCCAGTGCTCCCACAAACACCCTCCCAACAAGCCCACGCCCCCCCCAGCCCCAGCCACCTTGTCAAACTCATCGATGAGACACACGCCTCGGTCCGCCAGAACCAGGGCGCCGGCTTCCAAGGTCCACTCCCTGCTGACGGGGTGCCGCTGGACATAGGCCGTGAGGCCCACGGCGGATGCCCCCTGGCCAGTGGTGAAGATGGCCCGGCTGGACACCTTCTCGATGTACTTGAGGAACTGGGACTTGGCTGTGCCTGGGTCTCCACACAGGAGCATGTTGATGTCCCCGCGCACCTTGTGCTTCCCACCTGGGGCCAGACAAGGACGGGAGGGGAGGGGAGGGATAGGGGAGGGTGGATGGACAGGGTAGACTGCTCATCAGCAACGGCAGGCTCTAAAGACAGGCTGCAGAGCCCTAGCCCAGGCCCCTTTCTGAACATTTACTCAATGCACAGATATGTACTTAGGTCTACAGAGGACAGGCCTTTGTGATGGGGCAAAGCTAGAAATGACCTGAATCTTTCTCCAAGGAGGCAGAGCGAAATATGTGGCACTGTCCAGGACGCAGCAATGTGCCAGTATGCACTACTGAGGAGAAGCCAGAGGCGCTGCAGTGGGAGAAGAGCAGGGCCAGCCCGCCTCCGCGTGCTATAGCCACAGTCCCATGCACAGGGCAGGTGCTGTGTGTCACGGGCCCTGTGTGCTATAGCCACAGTCCCATGCACAAGGCAGGTGTGTGTCACAGGCCGTGTGCTATAGCCACAGTCCCATGCACAAGGCAGGTGCTGTGTGTCATGAGCCCTGTGGGCGTGCCGCACCGCATAAACTACGGGTGCGTTGTTGCAGTCCCATGACTGCACAGGTACGGGAGCACACAGCCACACAGACTGAGGCCCACAAGAAGGGCTTGGGATAGAAGGGCTGTCAGTGGAGACTGGCCTCACCTGAGGCTTCTATTATACTTATGTGCCCACCAACTACTGGTGTGGCAAAACCTTCTTTTAAAGGAAGACAAGCTGAGAAGAATAGAAATGCGCTCAAATTGTAAGTAAGGGCCGCCGGCTGGGGGACAAAAGCAGCCACCAGCTACCCACAGCTCTCTCGCCTCATGGAGTGGCCACATGGCCGTCACTGACTACATCCTGTCCCTAGCCCCCAGTCGTACGGACACAGGGTCTGCCCGTCCACAGGCAGAATCCTGGCTCTCTGCAGAGGGGGAAAGGGAGGGGAGCTCACCTGGGTTCTTGGGCTCTCCCCCGAACAGGGCCAGAGCCAGGCCTCTCTTGATGTCTTCATGCCCATAGATGGAAGGAGCGATGCTGGCAAAGATCTGAGGAAGAGGAAGAGGCCATGGTGATCGGAGCCCGAGGGGGGGGGTGTGTGCGCTCTGTCAGGGGTGGAGCCTGCAGCTCAGCAGCAACCCGCTGTGAAGTCCCATCATGCCCAGGGCAGCTGGGCTTGGGAGCTGCCTAGACCCCAGTCTGACCCATTCATTCTGTCTGGAGGCCTTGTCCAGGACACAGACCCAGAGCAGAGACGGGGTGAGCCACCGTGGCGTGGCTGTGACAACAGACACCCACAGCTGGTCCCTGTGCTCCACGCCAAAGCCTGCCTGCAACCTCCCACGAGAGCCAACACCAGATCCCAGCAGAGATCTACAAGACACTGCTCCAAAGCAGCCGGGGCAGGCCAGGCTGTGTTCAGATGACAGAAGTGGTGATCCGGGAGGTAGACTCATCAGTCCACATTTCTCTGTCTCCCGGACAGAAATGCCAACTCTAAGAGAGAAGCAGGGGTATGCAGGACTCCTTGACTGTGGGAGAATGCTTTCCACCTTGCTGGCCGCTGCCCTCCACAACCCCAGCACAGCACGCTCTGCAGGCCAGGGTCTGAGGCAGCGCTGGCCTCTGGGGCACATCATGAGCTCAGAGGGAGACTGCTCCTACTGGCCAAATCAACACTCAAGAATGACCCCACAGGGGCTGGGAAGGTGGCTCAGTGGTAGAGCGCTTGCCTTGCATGCATGAGGCCCTGGGTTCGATTCCTCAGCACCACATAAGCAGAAAAAGCCAGAAATGGCGATGTGGCTCAAATAGTAGGGCACTAGCCTTGAGCTGAAGAGCTAAGGGACAGCACCCAGGCCCAGAGTTCAGGCCCCACGACAGACAAAAACAAAAAAAAAGATCTCCACAGCTGGGCACCAGTGGCTCACACCTGTAATACTAACTACTCAGGTCAGGCTGAGATCTGCGGATCATGGGTCAAAGCCAGCCTGGGCAGAAAAGTCTGTGAGAGCTGGGCAGGAAAGTTTACTAGATTCTGTTCAGCAAAAGCAAAAAGAAGAGCTGGAATCGTGGTTCAAGTGGTACATGCCAGCAAAAAAGAGTTGTCTCCAAATTCTATTTCCCAATGAGAAAAATCATAATAAACACCTTCCCAGGCTGGCAAAGAACCAGCTGCCCCTGTGAACCCGGGTCCTGGTCGACTCAAAGGGCCAAGATCCTCAAGCACAGAGCTCGGCCATGGCATGGCGCTAGCCAGGTCAGGGGTGCCTTTCCCAGAGCCATGATAACAAGCAATCCCATCCTATCAACACACAGAACCAGGGCCGGGGCCTGGCTTTATGGAAGAGCCCTTCCCGGCACCCACAAGACACTGGGTGATTGAGGAGCAGAGGGGGCACAGAGACACTGGAAACTCACGTTCTGGGGCAAGAACCCACACAAACCCTGAAGCCAGTGTCAGCGGCTGCACGTGTGCCTGTCTCTGGCGCCACAGTCCCCCAAGGCTGAGGATGAGGGAGCCAGGCTGCCGGACAGCTGGGGGACCCCTTCCACCTGCCTTCTCCCCGATCTGCTGGTCCTTGGAGAGGCTAGTGATCATCTTCACGTCCTCATCCGTCAGCTCCCCGACAGCGACCTTGTTGTCTCTCTTGGCCACATGATTGGCCAGGATGATGGTAGCGAAGACGGGGAAGCCATTGGAGGTGTTGAGGGAACCATCGTAATTGTTGTGGTAAATGCCAGTCAGCTCCTAGGAGAGAGAGTCTGTGTGGCCAGAGGCACAACCCAGGGCAGGGTGCAGCTCAGCCACCCCACACTGCCCTCCGCACTACAGCGCAGCAGCTCAGGGACACTCAAGTAAATGACGTCCAAGCTGCTGCGGCTTTGACCTAGATGCTTCCCGCAGGCCTGGTTCCCTGCCTGGTGTGGCCCGTTAGGAAGCATGGCCACCCGTGGGGACTGCCCTGGACCCAGCCCCTGCCTGCCTGCATCATGGACTGCACGAGCCCACGCTCTCTGTGACATGCTGGGCCAGAGACCAGGGACTGTAACCTCTGGCCCCCTGGGCTAAAACAAACCCTCTCTCTCCTTTAAACCAATCATCTCAGCTGTGGGAAGCTCTACACTCCAAGGATTCAAGAGCCAACCCTAGTCCAAGCCCCCCACCCCCACCCCATTAACGCCCACATGCCCACGGGCGGGAAAGCCCGGGCCAAGTCTCCCGGCTCCCCCCTCCACTGCTGGCCACTCACAATCTCGTCCCCCGGCTTGCAGCTGTCCACCAGGTCAGCCAGGAGAATGGCATCTTTGGAGCGGGGTAGTCGGCCGGCTGCCACTTTACCAGGGCTCTCCTGGATGCGGATGCGCTGGTAGTTCTGATAAATGGTCTGCAGGAACAGAGAAAGGAGGTGAGCCCAGCCCTGCAGGAAGGGTGCTTCCTGTCCCACCTGACCTTGCCCCAGGCCCCCAAGGATGGGGGGCAGAGCCAGGCCACGCTACCTCCCCACTGGGAAGGAGGGCCACGGGGAAAGGGCCTATCAAGTCACCTGCTGTCTAGGAAAGCAACAGTGCTACGGTGTGAGCTCAAATATCCACAGAGGGCTGGGAAGGTGGTGGCTTAGTGGCGGAGTGCTTGCCTAGCATGCATGAGGCCCTGGGTTCAATTCCTCAGTACCACATAAACAAACAGAACACTTCCAATGTCCACAGAGACCAATGTGGTGAAGGTTTGGTCCTCAGCTCATGCACTACTGGGACGTGGCAGGGCCCTGGGGGCAGGGAGGTCTCTGGGGGCGGGTGTGCTGGCCCCTGGCCTTCCCTGTGCCTGACACCAGGCCAGCAGCCTCCTCACCACACACTAGTCCCTTCCTGCTGTCTCGCCACGGGTCCTGATGGGCAGGGATGGAAACCCAAAAACCTTGAGCCACAAGTGCCTTTCCTCTCCAGTAGATTTACAGAAAGCTAGTGGGTGAGTCGCTGTGGTTCAAAGCACACGCTGTGCCTAAGATCACAGAACAAGAGGCGTATGCCAGCCAGCATGGGGTCTGCAGTCTGGAGTGGTCATAGCCTCACAGCACCCCCGTGGAGGGCCCTCAGTAGAAACCGGAATCCAGCCTGGACTATAGACACCAGTGATGGAACTAGACTGAACCTGTGGGAGCGGACAGGCAGCCGGCACTGGCCTATGTCAAGCAAAAGCCAGACACAAGGAAGGCCCCAACACAAGTGCTCGGCTTTTAAATGCAAATGACCAGAATTCCTAGAAGACATCGAAGGACCGAAATATTCCACGTTGTGCTCTGTGGGGTCCCTGCCTGGTCCCCCCACGGCTGGAGTCAGCTCACCTCCTCCATGTTGACCTCGAAGGGCCCAGTGGACTGGCACTCCGGGCAGGAGCCTGGCTTCACTTCCTGGTTCTGGGACTGGCAGAAGGGCCCCAGCACAAAGCTGCACTTGCTGCAGTTGTACTTGACCATGCTGAGCTGGGGCAGGACGCCCGTGCAACTCGTCACCACGCCGCTGGTGCGGATCAGCTGGTTCAGGTGCAGCTGCCTGCGGGCACAGCGGCGGCTGGAGCTCAGGCACGTGGATCGCGCCCCCTGGGCACCCCAGCACTGGGCCTGTCAGCACCCGATGAGGCCATGCTAGTGCCCTCCTCACAGCCAGCACCACCGGGCCACCCCCCCCCCCCGTCCTCCTCCCTCACCTCAGGGACCGCAGCTCCTCCACCAGGGGCAGGTGGGAGATGCGAACATGGATGTGGCTGGCGATGCGGTCATACTTGGGGTACATGGCCAGCACCACCTCCAGAGCAGCCTCGTCAAAGATCTGCAGCAGCTCGGCCGGGGCCTCAGGCAGGAAGTAGGCCAGGACGTGCTCCCGGGCCGCCAGGTCCTCATAGTTCACCACCAGGCTCTCCCGGTTCTCTACAGGCGGATTGAGGGGTAGGGGGGAGGCTGAGCGGGGCCTGCTGGGGCCAGGGAGGGGAGGCCTGCCTGAGGGGAGGGACCCATGCCTCATCCCAGAGCCCAGAGCCATGAACTTGGAATGCCACAGGACAGAAGCCATGGATAGCCCTGCCCCACACGGGACGGCGGGCAGTGCAGGTACAGGACCAGGCCTGCGTGTCCTGAGCCCCGCCCCCCAGCCGCGTCTGCTGATTCCCAGCCCAAGTCACCCTGCAACGCAGAGTGCGCCTTGATGCCAGCACGTGCTCAGGACACACAGGCTCCGGGTCAACCCCTAGAGCCACAAAATGAACAAGTGAAAAGTAGGAGCGATCCAGACTTCCATTAAAAAACAAAACAAAAAAACAAACTCTGCCCACTTTTAAGAGTATCAAAAACAAATGCCTCGGGTCCCCACTGTCCCAGGCCGACACCCACAGGTGACATTTCCTGTGTTCCTTCGAGTGAGACCCCCCCCCCCCTTCAGGACACATCACTGAGTGTCCGAGCAGGCAGGATTGGTGTGCCTATGAGGCCAGTCCGAATAACCTTCCGGAAAGGGACACCAGGAGGCGGCTGGGTCTGAGTGACCGTGCCCCACCTTTGCACATGTCACTGATGCGCTCCTTGAAGACGTTGTGACCATGGCTGTCCACGTGAGTTCGCAGGAAGTTCTTGAAGCGGTGGTGGATCTCCAGCCGGGGGCCGGCCATGCTCACCCACTCCCGCACAGAGTGGCCCTTGAGGTCTTCCAGGTTCTCGATGCTCTCTATCATCTCCTCGTCCTCCTCCGCGCCATCTTCCGTGGCCCGCTCCACCTGCCGGCGCCTGCGGGCAGGGCGCTCTTCCTCGTCTTCATCGCTGTCTGTGCAGGCAAGGAAGCCTGTAAGAGCCTTTCCCAGCACCATCTCCCCTGACCCCAGACCCGGCCACTCAGCACACTGACAGCCACACCCCAGACCAGCGCGGCACGCAGACAGGCAGGCCTACCGTACAGAAGGCCTCTCCGCATGCGGCCCAGGCCCCGACCAGCCTCCCGGTCCCGCTGCCGCATGGCCCGCTCCGCCGCCTCCCTCTGGCTGGCTGTCAGCTCCTCCACGTCCTCCTCATCCAGCGCTAGTCCCTCGGCCTCGTAGGTGTCCAGCTCTGGGATGGCACGGTAGTCCCTGAGAGAGCCCCCAGAAGGCAGTTAGTCCCCCGCAATTCCATCCAGAAACTGGCCAGCCCCATAGGCAGCCTGGGCAGGCCTGCGCCTCCAGGAACGGAAGGCCAGAAAATAGCCACCGAGTTCCACGTAAGTTCTCTAGACACTGTGGTGAGTAGCACCCCCATTTGAACGTGGGATGCCTGTGGAAACACCCTTCTAAAGTGTCCAGGATGGAAGGGAGGAGTATTTTAGGTGGGGGGGATTTAAGGTTTCTGGGATTTCAGTCAGGTGACAAACATGTGGTCTCTGGTGAGGTGAGGCTGGGAATCTCCACAAGGCTCCGGGCACTCCTAAAACTTGGCTGGCGCGCTACCTAGCGTGTCCCACCTGCAGCCAGGATTAGGGCAGAGGCAGTGTTCTCCTATGGGCAGACCCACAGAGCCCCAAAGGGCACTGGCTACAGCAATGGCCTGGCTCTGATTGGGTAAAGTGCATGTTTACTAGCTGGAAGTCAGCCAAGGCCAGTGAGTCAGACTCCCTCACACAGTGTGCTGTGGCTTCCTGTCTGAGATCGCACCTCCTATTGGATGCATTCCCAGGGTACACATCTCTAGCAAGTGGAGCTTGTCCAGGCTCAGGGCAGGGTTAAGAACCTTTTATCTGCCAAGGGCCATGTGGGTATTTATTTGTTTTTTGTTTTTGGTCTAGTCGTAGGGCCTGAACTCTGGGCCTGGGCGCTGTCCCTCAGCTCTTCAGCTCAAGGCTAGTGCTCCACCACTTGAGCCACAGCGCCATTTCTGGTTTTTTTCTTTTTGTTTATGTGGTGCTGAGGAATCTAACCCAGGGCCTCAGGCATGCAAGGCAAGGGCTCTACCACTGAGCCACCTTCCCAGACCCCATATGGATATTTATAACATAGCTCGGCTGTACAAAATGATCAACACAGGCAGAAGTCCACCTGCCTGTCCTTTGATGTACCACGCGACCTTAGGGACTGGCCCAGGGGCAGATTTCCCACCCACGTCCGGTCTCCAAACGCAGCACCTTCAGTGGATCTGCACTGTAGCTTGTGACCTGTCTCCCTGACACCCCAGGTCCACACCACACTCAAAAGGCCACACCCCCCCAGATCCAAGCGCCTGAGCTGGGCTCCCTGCCAAGCTGAGTGTGGAGAGCAGTGCAAAGAAGATACCTCTCCATGCCATCGCCAATGAGCTCTTCTCCATCCTCTTCCTCCTCCACGGGCCCCTCGGTGCCCAGGAGCCCCTCAGACTCATCCTCAAACGGAGGAAGGTCACGGCCAGGGCTGGAGGTCAGGGCGTCGGTGCGCCGGGAGCTCCGGCCTGGGCTGGAGGTGAGCGGATCATTGGCTCGTCGCCGGCGGCCAGGGCTGGAGGCCGCAGAGAGGGGCTCGGAGGACTCCTGCGGGAGAAGCGGCGGGTCAGGCACGGGGGGGGGGCACGGCTCCGCCCCCCCGCCCGCACTTCCCAGCCCCGCGTTCGCCGGGCCAGGTGGGTCACTCACGGCCTTTCACCCGGGAAAAAACACGGAGGCCACGTCGCCTTCTGGCCCTATTGTCCTCCTGTCCTGCCCCTAGGCGGCCGCGGCGCCGTGGGCACGGCACCCACGCACGGTGGGGCGTCCCGGGGCGCGGGAGCCG